AATATACTACTTGTCACGCAGTACACTTATTCATTGTATAATTCGAATGAAACTCTGAATGCTGCACACAACTTTTTCACGGACGCGAGACGCTTCAGTGATTGCATCGATCACTGCTCACACACCAGCCTGATCAGAGTTGACCAATTCAGCCACCGTTGTTCTGCAGTCAGTAGTTTCGAATTATACGGAGAAAAATAATGACATCAGCTGTTGTTAGGCTCATTTCGGTGATCAAAATAATGTCACGTGGTTCGGGGTTGTCTGTGTTATAGAGGGCACAACTCATTGGAGCTAGCGAGACACTGGATAAAGTTGCAGATGTATTGCTAAAAAGAATTCACGACAAAAGTAAGGAAATTTCTGGTCAATCTGTCTCAGTACAGTATGAAATAAAAACAGGCGGTCTGACGAAAAATATATCTGTTGAAAAACACCGGAAGGTTACTGGGGGCTGGATTACACGTGCATTAAATCTAACTCATTCCTCAATCTGGATTCGAGCGTCTGGTGATTGCGGCAAGGACTCGAAACAATGGTGCAATGAATGATGAAGTTGAAGGTATCCTGAAAGACGTCCAAACTGATGCATCACGGAGTTCAGTGGGTAAAACAGTATATAAATGGCTGAAAAGTCATGTTCCGTGGTGAGGAAATGTTCATTTCGATCCGCGTGGCTGATCCCAATGCTGACACGAAAAGCAAAAACAGAAAAGACGCAAGACGGTTCCAAGGAGGCTGGCTCAATTACGACATGAGGAAGTACTTTTGTGACCGAATGAAGTTGGTTAGACAAACTAAAAGAGAAAAACAAAAGTGGAAACCTATGTTCGGACACTCAACAATTCTATCGTTTCCCGTCATGTCAACAGGTAGTGCAAAGGAGTCCAGTTTCCAATAACATTATGCGCCTTTTCACATGGTATACCTCATGAAAGTTTGGTTGTTGCAACAGAACTATTCGAGTCCCTTGAGGCACGTGTGTGTCACCTCTGTGCCAACCGGCTCATATCGGGCCGCAACAGTTTTAGTCATTCAAGTTCATTCGGAGATAGCGAGCTTTTTCCCGATAACTTCACTTGCAAGGCTCCCGTCGAATCAGATCTTCTCTGAAGATTTTGGTGCTTCATTTCAATAGGATCTGAAATATGTCTTCAAATGTGACATCGGGATACATTGCCCGGATTTGTCTGTTCAGGATGGTCAGCTTTAAAAGGTATCACGTGACATGTTTGTGAATTCGATTCGTAAACTGATTCAGAATGTGAGATGCTGTTTTTCACGCGCTAGATTTTGTGGTGCTTGTTAACCCGGTGATTTAAATCTGAGAACTTTGTGTTGAATATTTTTTCTAGATTCCGGGAATTAAGAACGCCCTGTGGACGGCTTTAAGTCGGGGGTGACAAAAACGACGTTTACGGACAACACGCAATATTTGCTCGTTTCAATGAATTCTTTAGACTTGGAATCCCTGAAATTTGATGACTCATTTATATTCTCGAATTTGGTTACTCATTTCGAATAACTGGGATAATTATCTGTAAACTTCCCACCCCGCATCCCGCCGGAAAATTGCTTTCCTGCAGGTAGTTCACACGAACGCACACATGAGCAAACACAACGCGTGCTTTTGGAAGCTACCGACCAGAATAATCACAGATTTATGTATAAAGAGGAAACTAATCAAGCTTTTTATAAAAACGAGACTGCTCATTTCACTCCCCAGAAGGCCCCCGGTCCCCGAGAAACGGTTACGCCCAGAAGGCATGCGAAGAACACGTGTTATCAGAGAACCACACGCTCTGTTACATCTCCTTGCGACCCCTTCCGTTTCGTCACGTTCCTGATCTTCATTTATGTTCTCAGCATTTGAACGTTCTTTTAGTGAAAATTATCATTTCTGACTGGCCTACGGTGGGGGGGGGCTCTGTCGTGTGCAATCCAGCAGTGAGAAGACCAAAAGCTCAGTTGGGATTTGAACCCATGCATGAATACAGCTTACACCTCTGCAGTACTCTATCGGCCGAAATGAGAGACGGACAAAACTGAGGTTTTAACATATGTTTATCATCCAGCATCCAAGTTGAACATAAAAACGAAGTTTGATTCGGTCAACACTAAATACTTCTTTAATTCCCCCTACTACTACAGAGCGAATGCGTCAGTCGCCGGAATTCCACGTCCACCGCAAAATCTGGAAACGCATTGGCACACAGTTTCGAAGAAACGGACACAGACGGAGCGAATCAGAGACGTAAAGATACGCCTGCCTCAAAGACACTCACGGATCGAAGGAGTCAGCCATTGGGAAAATCAAACGCAAGCGAGCTGGTCCGATTATTCCAGTCCCGTCTGAACGGACGAATGGATAAAGATCTGATGGAATTTCTCGAGACCAATGAGGATTTCAAACATGGCCTCACTCAACTACTCGAACAGGGTCCGACAGAATCCGGTCAACGGTTGGTTTGTTTACCCTGTCGATGTCGTGACCCGTTTGTCTCCGTTCACAAGCCCCCCTACAACGAGGTTGTGACTGGCGGGGTGGCTGCTTGCTATCCAGCTTGTCGCAGTCCGGCATTCAGCAGTAAATCCGATCGAACGTTTGCCACGTTTTGGCTTGGTTTATGGGCTGTACTATGTATCCTATCCACGCTGGCCACTGTGCTCACATTCTTGGCTGACCCTGGACGTTTTCAATATCCGGAGCGGCCGATTATCTATCTGTCCGCGTGCTATCTGATGGTCGCTTTTGGTTACCTCATTCGTGTGGGTATGGGTCATGAGTCAATCGCGTGCGATGGTCCAATGCTTCGACGAGGTAGTACGGGTCCAGCACAATGTAGTGTGGTTTTTCTATTGACCTATGTGTTCGGGATGGCATCATCTGTGTGGTGGATTGTTTTAACCTTGACGTGGTTTTTGGCGGCCGGTTTGAAGTGGGGCAGTGAAGCTATTGCCAAATACTCACAGGTGAGTAACATCACTATTCTGCTTTATTCACTATTCAATATAATTTTGAGCTACTTCGTCTGTTTGGGCCGCAATCCAGCTAGACACATGTGATAGTAATTGACTTGAGTTCATGAAATATCGAAGTTGTATCAGGTGCACCAAACAAATTTGAATAAACACCTTAGAATTGCAACTGACCAATCACTGTTATCAAGTATTATGGCTAACACATTTTGAATTGGATGGCGGAATTTGCAGTAGCAATCTTGGATTAGCCCATTCCATTGTTCATAGGCACTAGGCACTCTTGATGGTCTTGTATCTGGGTTTCACCCCTTGGGAGATCGTTAATTCCCCACGAGGTAAATGTATTCAAATGCGATGGAAATATTTGTGATGACCGACAAAGGGTACGGGATAACTGTTTCGTCATGTTTGGGAATCGTTAGCGGTACGCAATTTCTGTGCCTCTGTCAGGATGCGAACCTCAAACATTCGGGTTCGAACTTCAAACCCTTTCCCGCTGTGCTACACGGATGACGGTCATCACACAAACTATAAAGAGTACCTGGTGCATCTGACAACAATCGAATGGGTGAATCCAAGCTTGATACTCCAAATTGATTGAGCCATTTCCACCAGATGATGACCGTTGGGTGTGTAGCTCAGGGGTAAGGATTTGAAGTCCCGACCGGAGTGTTCACGGTTCGAGTCCTGACAGGGACACAGAAAGTACGTACTGCTGACGAGTTCCAAACAGGACGAAACAGCTGCCCAGTGCTCTTTGTCAGTCATCACAAACAGTTCCATCGTATTTAGATGGCGGAATATTTAAAATCTGAACTAGGACATACAATACATCTATTGATGAGGTATGGAAAATGAGTACTGTCTGAATAATTACCCAATAAATGCATGAGGCTGAAAAGACTATGATTGATCAGATGATCCGGTGTTACTGAAAAGCTCTTATTGATGAAAATAAAACAAGGTTGATTGGATATTCGAAGAACGGATTGTGATTTGGAGAACAAATATCGACAGATTGGTTTCGTGCGAGGAATCTACTGATTAGCTGTAATTATTGTGAACGGTCAACACAACAATGAGAGCGATGCGTTCGTTACTATCTTGGCTAGGTTAGGGCTCGATTGATTCCTGTGGTTAGTTGAGACTATTCTATCAGCCCATATACCCAAGATAAGCGAGTCGCTCACAAACGCTAGTCTGATCTTGAGATATAAAATAACAAGACGGACGTCGTCATCGCGATATTTTGCCGAGTATGGCAACCCTTTAATTGGCCACTTCCCCTTCCTGAGAATTTTATCTTTGTTTATTCAATAAGAGGAAGGAAAATGAAATGAAAAAGGAAAAAGAGTCGGTTAAGTTTTTGGTACATGTAGGTTTCAGCTCCGCATAAAGCAGAGGTTAACTGCAATATGGCGTAAACAAATTACCGGACACGGTGGATAGTGAATGAATGATTCCCCATGTTTCACAATGGAGAGACGAAGCAGTGAAATTCTTGTTCAAAACCATTAAATTGAGTGTTTCGGGGTACTGAAAAAAGTCTCACCAAATGAACTGCGTGAATTTGTCGTCCGTTTTGGGTATACAAGATAAGGAGTTAAAAATTGGACCAAAATTCCTGTTGAAAATCGCCCCCGCCCCAACCGGAACGCAATGCTACCGAGTTGATATCTTCGGGGAGAGGGGGGAAGGGTAAAAATTTAGTAAATGATCACTTTTCCCCTGTCCATGATAGAGAGTAACAGTACATAGTAATTTTGTGTTATTCTGATGCTCAGATATTCCCGGTCAATTTGAACACATTCAGACAATTGTTCAGATTGTCATAGATATTCACAGTAGACCATTCCCAAAAGGTTACCCAACCCAAAACGTCAGTAAAGAGGCCATCCACATCAAGCTTGCGTTCAAAGGTAACCACATTTACAATGCTATGTGCCATAAGTTGAGGTCAGCTCTTTAGACCATACATTCCCAGCTGCCTACCTCAGACTCATTGTCTCCACTGGTGGAATTGATTTGGACAAACATAAACATGACTGACAAGCCAGTTCTATCTCTCACATATACACCGGCAGAACAATACCTTCAGCTCTCACAACGGATGGCGGAACGTTTTCCAGAAGGGTTGCTAACGTCGATGACGCAACCGATAATTGATGGTCAAGCGAGTACAATAAATCCAGGGTCATCTGGTGTGAAAACCTCTCATAATGACAAGACACACAGTTGATTCCAATTCGTCTTTCAAACCACTATTACATAATCGCAATGCTAAACTTTTAGCAACTAGTGGAGCACCGCTTATTGGATAACATCACCCGATCTTGTGCGCATAAACGTTTTTGAAACAATCAATCCACTTACCGTGGAGTTCACCTTCTACTTCTGGAGTTAGTAATCTTCGTAATCTTTGTTCGTTCACCATAATTGATTAACCCCATGTGATATATATATATGCTTGTTTGTTTTAAATTGTTCAATTAGAAAAAATCGCTTACTTAAAATACTTTTACTCTCTCTCCCTGGCTACCAACATTTCGCACATTTCAGATCTATCATTTCTTTGCCTGGTTCTTTCCTGGTGCTCAAGCCATCATCATTCTCATCCTGTCTGGGATTGACGGGGATCCGGTCGGTGGTCTTTGTTATGTAGGTGCCACCAATTTGCTCTATCTGCGCCTATTCGTCCTTGCCCCGATGTGCCTCTATTTGGGTTTAGGCACCGTGTTTCTAATTGCCGGTTTTGTGGCCCTATTCAAAATTCGCAGCGCAATCAAGCTGCAAGCGCGTGGCCATTTGAAAACGGATAAACTGGAAAAATTGATGATTCGTATCGGGATATTTGGTGTCCTATACACGGTCCCGGCAACCGTGGTAGTTGCTTGTATCTGTTACGAACTATCCAACCGTGAACAGTGGGAACGAAATCACAATTGTCCATGTATTGAGCTGCCCAAACTGGACACAATTTGGCCCACTGGTTCCGGTCAAACCAGTACGGGGAAATTTGCGGTATCAACAGAAACCCGACGATTAGATTCAGTTATGTTTCCGTTGAAACCCAAAGAACCTGGTGGTTCGGAACAACCGGAATATGCTGTGTTTATGCTCAAATATTTCATGTCTCTGGTGGTCGGGATCACTTCGGGATTTTGGATTTGGTCCAGCAAAACGCTAGATTCCTGGCAATCTTGTTTACGACGTGTGGCCAATCGATCGTGTCCAACGCGGAAGAAACGTGTGCAAATGAACAGTGTGCCCAATCTCGGACCATCCGGTCCATCCGGGGTTCCCGGGGGTCGATCTCCACCGGGGGGTACATGTGCAATGGCTTGGACGAATGGTCAATCCAAGCTGTGGCTCGGAAATCCGACCAAACCNCCACCGCCCGGGTTGAGTGCACAAAGCTGTGCCACGTGGCAAGATGATTTCGGACCGACAACACGTCTTCTGCCACAACCACCACAAACAGTAAATGCCACAGCCGGAATGAATTTGAACTGTACACATTCGCTGGGACATCATTTAGGATTGAACGGGGTGGTAAACGGTTCCGGAACATCTGTAACCGGACCATCAGGCCAACAGCAACCACCAACAGTACCATCGCAACAACAACCAGGACAGCCTCAACAACCGCACACACAACCAACAAACTCCAGTTCATTTACTAACGGACCAAATCCGGTGGATGGAACAATTTTGAGTGCCAGCAGCGGAAAAACTCCCAGCGGACCATTGGCTCATCACAGTTCCACAATGGGAGGTGGAAATGGAAGTGGACCATTAGATTCCGGGAATGTGATGCTGATTCCCGGAAATCCACTGACACATATCTGAACTTTGAAATTAGACTTCAAAACAATGTTTCGTCTCATCTTTCCCACCCTCTTACAATCTCTACCCGTTCTGCTCATTAACCATCTGTCTCTTAAGACAATTTTCTTCGAAATGGACCAATCCAAACGCTGATAACAAGACAAAGCGGGCTCGATGGTTGATTGACCGGTTGTCCAAAGTGCGCTTTCCTGGAGGGTTATTCTCAACTGACCCTCAGCACACATGCATACACACACACACACCAAATGAAAGTGAACAAGGGACTTTTTAATATTTGACAATCAGTTTTGGTCTTCTTTGTTTTTACGAACCCCCACCCCCTAATGTGCGTGAGCAAATCTGATCGATTCTGACTCACCAAGACTACATTACATTGCATTTCAGCACGACAAGGCAGCCTTTCAAATGATCTCAAAGACATGATTTGTACATATTCATATACGGTAATAATATTCATAGTTATGCCTAACTATTCGAGTACATGCATACCAGCATATTCACATACATAATTCAAAGAATCAAGGTTCAGGCATTGGAACAGATGCACCTGTTACCCGTTTACATAATCTTGTACATAGCAGGTTTTTATTGAAACAATGAAACAATGAATGGGGTGGTTTACGACTGCACACGTTTCGGCATACTACAATCGCATAAAACCCGATCAGAAGGATCTCGCTCAACCAGCTGAGACTTCCATTCGGTCTGGGAAGAAAGGGGATTGCTCCTAGTTGTCAATGCAGACCACACTTTCACGTATTTACTCATCGGTTATCCAGTTCCGTTTTTTTACAGACCAATTTAATAACAATAAAAGAGTTCTCCGGCCCCCAAAGCTCGAGTCCTTTGTTTTTTCTTCTGAAAAATAACAACAATTCCCATGATCACTGCTCAGCATAGTCGGTGGTGCCTTTCTTCACAAGTTCCGATCTCTTAGTACATATGTGTATTGGTATACATGTGCTTATGTCCTAATTGGTCGGCTTGGATCAAACTCATTGCCTCCTTCCTGACTAAATATCCAAACGAACTTGATCCAGGTGCTTTTCACCGCCCCACCCGCCACCCCCGATCGAGGCTGTTTCAGATGAATCTTGGCGAAACCGCCTATCTGTATGTTCGATCTATCTGCCGGTTTGTCTCTCATTCATCTGCCTGTCTATCTCACGATGTGTGTGCGTGTGTGCATGTGAGTGTGCTTATGCCCAAACAGACACACACACACACACCTTGGCTTTGATTTGTCTTTTATCTTTGGTTTTTCTCTTGTTTAAAAAAAATATTATCCTGTTATTTTTCCTCTTTTTCACGAAAACCAGCGAACAATTGTGACCCATATCAGCACGGAGATCGCATTCATTGTAAATTTTCTCACCTGCACGCCCTTATCCCTTTCATGCCATCTGGCAGACAATCAAATTCCCTAGGTGTAACAAGAGTGTGTGTACCTGCACGACAAGGCCTACAAACAAACAAACACACGCGAATTTATATGCATCTGACCTCACATATACATACATACATACACACACACCGATATACATATATAAATATATTCCCATACAAATGCATGAATGTATTTTCCGTCCGGTTTAAGTCAGCTCCGTTCACTCATTTTTGAACCGTGAATTCAATCGAATTAAGTGTACGCGTTGCATCACTAGTGTAAAGGACAGGAAGAAAAAATCGATACAATCATTAGGAATTTGACACAAAGGAAGAAGACGTCTTGCTTTTGCTAAATATATTTGTCGGTGACTTAATGAACGCACCCCGATGAGAAGAAATCAAGATCTTGTTACCTGTACTCTGGGTTCGAACCCCGTTTCCAGGTGTTAATTGTGTGAATGTGAGTTGATTTGACCGATATTAAAAGAGCTCGTGCAACATGACTCATTTTGGAAATACATTTCAGTTTCCATGTTTCAGTTTCAACGTGTATATCGATAGCTAAGGGTGAAGTGTATGTATGTATTTCGAACTTTATCTCCCAATGCAAAGTATTTAGTTCTCTTGTGTCAGCGTTTGTGTTTGTGCCACCTTGATTATAGCGATACAATTTGTAGTAGTTCGCCGTAGAAAGCGGTTAGATCACATTTATGCCGGTTCTCGATCTGTCAGGTCTAATGTAGAATTAGTTCAATTACCACCCAGCAGTCGGGATTTGAATGTAGTCGAAAACTTGACCCTGCGTAAGAAACGGGGATAAGTAAGCTACCTCGACGTGGTCGACAGTGGCCAGGGTAGGGCATGCATTAGAGGAAGCTGGCAAATGCCGTTTGACAGTCAACTTAGTGGACTCTGTGCAAAAACGATTGTCTCTAGTGCTCGAAAATAAAGAAGGGCAAATAGAACATGGACGAGGTGAAAGTATATTATCTATATGGAACCCATGAGTCATTTTTATAGATAAACTCTAAAAATGCTTGTTGCTGAGGCTTTACAGTTGATGTACCAACAACGATAGTCGAAATCGCGAAGTCATACGTTTTGATATCATTCAACCATAGGAAGTAAAAACACCACTGGATATTTTTACCGATATGTCCAGTGTGCTCTGAAACACTATTATACCCAATGGCCCATGAATGAAGTTTGCAAACCTAAGCGTTGGAAGGAACACATGTGATGAAAGTCAGGGTGCTGCACGAGTTTCATCTATATCTGTAGATAATTGGTAAACATTTGCACTGGTGTACAGCCTAACTCTTGGGTGATCCGAGTAGGCGAGATCCGCATCATACCTCCTGACTCTGCTACAGTCATCGGATTTTTGGAATCAAAATTCGTCTGTTGATGATTAACCTGGTAAGAATTTCGCTGGTTTGTAAAACAGCTTTCACTCTTTTGAGTACTATTTTTGAAAATGCTTACGGGTAAAGACCATATTTATTACAGCGTTGGAAACAAATCAGGACCAAATACTGGGCAGTATATAAATTTTTCTGCACTACAGATTTGATAAAACACAACTAAGTATAGCACAGATGATTATCAGTTTGGAGAATCGCAGGTCAGGGAAATCTGGATTCAGTAGTTGAAAATAATTGCATCTCCCCGAAGTTGGTAATAGATTGAAAAGATCAGTTGTGAACTTGAGATATTACTGCTAGTGGGATGTGAGTTGGAGACAATGGGAACGGGCAAATCGTCTGATCTATTCAAATATGGTAGTGTTATAATTTCAGAAGACCGATGCTGGTCCGAGAAGAGTTATTAATTAAGAACCACATTTAGGGTGTGGATAATTTGGCATACCTATAACAAGAATATGTCATTACAATTCCCGGCAGCACACAGGATAATGATTGGAACAGGCCGTAGTCATCACTTTCAACATAGCAATTTGCTCTAAGAGGTCTTGTTCACTTTGGACAGTTGAAAGAAACCGGCAGCCGCATTCTTTTGCGTGCTACTCATAAATGTAAATAGTACCACACAACAGTAGTAATGTAAAAGATCCATCGTTGGCTATGATGAGATGAGGGGAGAAGATTGAAGATCTAGGTTGCTAAGAAACCGATGGAAATGGTGAGTGAGTGACTAAACGGACTGTTGGAAGTAACGACAATGATGGGGTATATTTCAACAGGAAGCACGTCGAAACAGACAATGAGCGAGATGGTAGGTGAAAGGGGTGATTTCACAAACTAATACCGGCCGGTAAAACATTCATTTATCCGTGGGTGCAAATGCCCAGCTGAGAAAATTTTCAAAATTTCAAAGGACCGGTTTCTCCAGTCCGATCCGGTGGAGTGCATTGCTTTGAGGAGGGAAACACACGGTGGACGTTACCAGTCCGACCGAGTTCGGGTGATACAAAATGACTAAAGATGAAAGAAAAAGTGTGCAAAATGACTGGGCGAGTAGAATGATAAATGGCATGTGGGGTGTTTTGCATGAAATTGAGTTGTTTCACTTGTTTTCTTATCCACAAAGCCGGGAATTAACCCGGTGATCGCACATTCCTACGCATGTTTGGCGAAGAAGTGGAGTGGGGAGATTATCATATATGTCAGTTTCACAGTATTTGATTACATCTCAGTATGTGCTCAAATAAAACGCAATCTGTACCACGCTGTTCAAACTCCGGTATTTCAGGTATGTGGTTTAGAAAAGGGGTCAACACGAACTGACTGATCAGCGAAATAGATCACAATACATTCAAACACCTTTTTTCATAAAATATGGAAATTTAGCTAGTTACTTCGTTAATTGCTAGATCACAGCCAAACTAATCCGTTCGCATTCCTGTATAGTAGCCGTATTAGTACGGTACAGAAACTTCGTGTACTGACTGCTCAGTGCATATTTGGGATATGAACAGGACAACGATTTTTCCGTTAATAAAGAAATCCGTAGATATACTTAGCCACCACTGTGATATTTATGAATCTTGATTAATTTGAACTGAATATCTTTCAGAGTTCACCTTCACGCACAATCCTCAGTTCATCCAGTCAACCGTACAATCGGAAACACCAGACTCGAGTTTCGCTCTTATTGGAGCTCATCAGTAGTGCATATCCACCTCCCCGTCCGGGATTTGAACTCCGGACTAATTGCATGGAACGCTGAAGATTTTTTCACTGTGCACAATTTTAAGTGCACTGTCGACTCGATTCAACCAGGAATTCACAAATTGCGAACTGGAGCTAGGCAGTGCATATATTCATACATACGATTGATTAAATTCACTAAGCGATAGACAAAAATTCCCTGTTGTCCACAATTGGAAACATCGTTCTCCTGTTTTTAACGTTCTACTCTTCAGCCTTAAACGCGCACACATGCACTTCTGTTTACGTGTTTGTATAAGTCGTACCGGGTTGGACTGGGCTGGCGAGAGTGGATAGGCGTATATCTATCTGATCAGAATTACTGATTTGTGTCTGGACTGAAATGTGACGTAACGTAAACAAACATGATCCCTTTCAGAGATAGGAAAAAGCACTTCAAACAGCTTGAGGAGAGCAAGAAGGAGACAAAAATAGGAAGAC